AACAAAATTATTGACTTATATTTCTTTTTTATATATATATCAATAGTACAGTGACACAGTCACACGTTTTTATTAAAAGACATATCAATCTTTTTCCTAAAAAAAAAAGAAGAAGACGTATCAATCTTTTGCACAACAAAACCAATACTTTCTGGATGGTTTAAAAAGCACAGAAAAGTTATTAATATTGACAACTTTTAAATTAGGGTATTCCCGTTTTAACAATAATTATAAAATATATATAATTTGCACAACAAGACTACCACTAGCATTAATTAAAACACTGCGCAGACTGCAAAATTGCTAGCCTTAAAACACAAGAGAAATCATAATACTTACCACAGCGGGAGTTGGAGCAGGTGGACAAAGGTCACCTCCTCCTTGTGGATAGCCTGTACATATCTCATAGAGTTTAAAGCTTGTCTAAAGACTGGTTGACTTCTGCTCCAACAGAAGGAACAAAAATGAAAAAAAGAGTAAAAATAGGATTGTTTGACTTATGTCCTAGCCTAGCAATTATTGGACATTTTTCAGCACTCAATTTTTCAGACAGAATAATTTTTACTGGGGAATATATATGTTCTAGGTTTCTCAGAGTAACTAGATCAGTAGGGGCTGCTGAGTTGCGCATGCATGTTAGAGATCATTTGACGAAGTTCAGAGGTTTCTTCTTTGAGCTGAACATTCTCTTGAAGTGCCCGATCATGGGACTCCGAGACATGGTTCAGCTTATCCATAAGCTGATGATTCTCATTCCGGAGCCAAACCACCTGTGACCACAGCTCGTCCAGGTGACGTTGCTTGCGCATACGCGATCTGCGTGCAGACTCCCGATTGGATATCTTCCTTCGCTGCTTTCTCTCGTTGATAATTACGCTCTGTTGTTGCTCATCTGCCTCATCAGAATTACACGAATTGTTGCTGACATTTGATGACTGAGGATTGAATTCGAGAGCTTGAGGAGGGGTACAGAGATTATACAATGGATTTGAGAAACCATTGATCAACTCAAATATTGGTGTGTTGCTCTCAGACATGCTAAAATGTTGGGAATACGGACTCGGGTTTGAAGGTGCTAGATAATGGAGTCCGGAAACCTCACAAGCCTGCATGGCTACCTGTGAAGATCTTGATGAGGGACTAATTATAAATCTTTGAAGGGAAGGAAAGCAGATTAATTAAGTTGTTGTTGGAAGTGGAGGAAAAGCTCGACGGAGAGGGGTTCTTATATAGTGTGGGAAAAGGGGGAGGTGGCCCCATAATTGTCAAAGTGGAGACGAGCAACAGCAAGAAATTTCTTCAAATCTAAGATTTTGAATATAAAATGCAGATATCATGTTTGCTTTTATGTAGAAATTACTTTGACGAATAGATATCATAAGGCACAATTATATATAAATTTGAGCACGTATGTCAGCCTTTACATGGATGATTGCACGAACACATACATGAATTAGTGAATTGCAAACAGTTGTAGATAATAATAATTATTATGAGATATGCTCTAATCCTGCTTACATGGCATGATCACGCGCGCACAAACACGTACACACACACACACGAGGAGGAGAGAAACAGAGTTGAGTTAAAGAAGTCATGCAGTCTCTAGATGTGTATTAATTATTTCCAAGCAAAGTTTGTTGCTCATGAGCCAATTACAAGGCCTTCTGAAGTAAGGAAATGGAAGGGAGGTAGGCAGGAGATGTGCCCCTTTTCTATGTGTTTCTAATTAGAAAAGAGTTGTATATTGTTTAAGGAGTCAGATGACTCAAAAACCACTTCAGTTGAGAAACTTCACATACGTTTCTACTTGGCTCAGTACCATTCATTGCATCTAATTTCACTTTTGTGAGATTAGTATTAGGTATTGCACTGCAAAAGTAAAAAAGTTAGGGGTTTTTCAATCACATATTGCAGCTTCAATTCTCTTTTGGAAGATTATGGCCATGAATAATCAAAGCTTTAAAAACAGCATAAAACCACATAAGAATATCCATTTTTAGTGCCAACGTTGATCCATAGATAGCCACACTCTCTTGCATCTCCTTTTCTCTGAAAAAACAATATGTATGGATAATGGATTAGATATGAAAACACTGCATAAAAGAGCTAGGCAATTTTTAAAGTGGGTGACTTCATGTGGCCCATGGGATGTCTGAGGTATTAATTAGTGTTGATAGCCTTTCTCATCGCTAATTAACTTATAATCTCATTGAATTTAGGCAAAAGTTGTTTCCGAGACTTTGTTGCTTCAACCCACTAGACATGAGCACACATGTGAAATTAATTAATCTTTAGTTCACAGTCCATATATACCATATACAATGTAGGAACATTGTAGTTTGAAATGCACTCTTCCACTATAAAATACTGTTGCAGTTGAGTTTCTTCTCCCTGCACTTTCATTTTGTCATGCTGGATGGAAGAAAGAACCAAATATCCACGATATCTGGCCTGTATTTTCCTTCAAATGTTTATCATAATTAGGATCTTCCCCAAGCACGAAGACACGTGAAATGTATGATTAATTCATCTATTCATCTTCACGGCCCTCACCAAGGCTGGCATATCTTATCTACCTCTGAAATTCATTTTCCGAATCTTGTGTGAAATTCCTGCAATACCCTTGCAACTCGACCCGAATCCTGTAAACTGACAAGGGGCATTTGGGAAAAGAAATATGTTACAGCGAGGGACATTGGAGCGGAGTATCAATTTGGGTCTTGCACTTGCACGGAAGGTTATTTGATTTAACCGCAACTTTTAGTACAAAAATTGTTCGGAGGTGACAAAAAACTGCAGGCGCATGATATTCTTAGCTAGGGGTGGGCATTCGGGAGTGGGCATTCAGGCGTGTAATGGAAGGGTTATTTAGAAATTGAACCAAAAAATAAGTTTGGTTTGATTTTAATGATTTTAGATTTTAGTCATTTATTATTTTGGTTATGATATTAACCAAATAAATTTTGATTTGGTTTGCCTTTTAAAAATTAAAATTTAGATAAATATGATAAAATATGAGATAAAATATAATTTATTATTAAAAAAATAATTAATATTTATTTAGTAAAAATAAAAACCGAACCACTTTTATTAGTAACAAAACCATCTGATTTGTGAAAACTTTAATTTGGTTTTGGATCTTAAAATTAAAAAAAAAAAAAAAATTCGATTATTTTAAAACTGGTTTCGGTTTCAACCGCTTTTTGCCCACCCCTACTCTCATCTTTATCCCTTTTCTAACAAGCGCACGCGGGTGCTTAGTGCTCAACACCAACCATCCCTGTTGTTTAGCATCTTAACTCATGCAAAAGGTCTTTCTCTACTTTTTAAAGCCCTTTTTTTACAGGTTCTCACACACATCAAAGAGGGATTATTTGGGAATTTGGATTACTGTCAGCTGGGACAATACGTGTGCCCGCCATAGGGGCAACCTATGACAAAGTTTTGTGAAAAGGGTCAAGGGTTTTAGTGATATGGTCACAAATAAAATGAGGGGGTGGGCTTAAGTTCTTTTTTTCTTAGGCCAAATTATAGGGCAGCTGAAATGCATTTCATGCTCCTTTTTGTAAAATGTCTAGACACGCTTTCAACAATTGGTCAAAAATCAAAAACATATTGTCCCACCAACTTTGATTAGTTTTTTGCTTTAACGGTTAAGTTGTATTATTAATCATAAATCTATCTCTTAAACTCAATTAAAGACAACTCATTTATGTTATAACTAAAGAATTTATTAGAAATTATTGTTTTATAAATATTTTTAAGAGAATAAACTTAATCAATAAAGTGAAAAATAATTTATATTTTTGACTAAATTAACACCACTTAGAGTGTCAACTTTCATCTGCTATACATATTGGTTCGGTCCAATTATATACATGTCTAACGTTGATAAAAAAAAAAAAGAAAGAGAGAAGACAATTTCTTTTAATCACTAGACTCTTCAATAAAATTTGTTTCACCAAGAAATGGCCTTTTTTTATTTAATTATGCAATTAAATCCCTATAAATTGAAGGGATTGATTGATAGAAGATAAGCCATTCATCTACCAACACTTCTTCATAATCATCTCTTCTTTTCTCTTCCACTTTTCCTCTTGTGTGGACGACTAATATTTTCTCATAAGACTAATTAGCTGACTATACCATGATTAATTTATGAATAAACCCATTATTTGATTGGTTGGGGGTGGGATTTTGAGTCATGATAAAGTTAAAACAATTGTGACTAGCTTACGTACTTGTTTTAAGGTCTTGATCCACTAACAATAAAGGTGTTTTGGGTTATTTTAAGCAAATGGGTGCATTGCTTTTGGTTTTCTTTGTAATTTGGGGGTTAAAAATAGAATGTGAAAAGAATACCATCATCAGCAATTGTTGTCATTTTCGTTGTTATTATTATTGTTGTTGCTGTCTTGCTACTACTGAGATCTAAAGCAACTAGAGAGTCTCCACTCTCATTGGGGCTATATGGGAAGGAATTACAAGTCCTAGACATGAAAAGTGTGTTTTTTGAACAGAGCAAAATGGGGTGGCTAGCAAAGACAAGATAAGATTTTAGCAAGCAAAAAAACAATAAGCAGGGTGATGGTGTTGGTCATGGTCGCAGCAACAACATCTCTTGGCATCAGTTTCAGACATAAAATCGTTTTAGTAATAATTCTTCGTCCCCACTGACGAAAAATATCCCCATGAATCAGATAATAGAGATCTTGAACCAAAGCCACTTCCCAAGAGCCAGAAACCACCCCCATAAATCATGGTTTCTAGAGGGAGTAAGTGCTTTCTTTGATTGCCTGTGGTGGACACTATAGGACTTTCTCCATTACTGAAAATGACTAGTTTGTTTCTTTCTCTGGACATTTTTTTTTGCGCTTTTGTTTGTGTTTTGCTACATTTCATTTTTATTTATCTTTTTTTGCTTTTTGTTTTTGCTACATTTCATGGTAGCAACTTGAAAGTGAATGGACCATATTAACAATGACTTACTTTGACCGAGGGATATCAATCCAAATACCAATCTGCACCAAATCTCACAAAGATGTTCTCTCTTTTTCTTTCTCTTTCAATAATGGATAAATAGTTCTATAATCAGCGTTGGAGAATTATGCTTTGCAAAAGAAAAAAGTAAAACAAAACAAAGTTCTTACTGAAGAGATTGTAACTTTAACAATAGGGTAGCTTTATAGCAATCCCTTTAGAGAAAGCAGAATAAGCTTCCCGGTCAAGCTTCAAGACCATGAAAATGCATAGGGTTCAATCCTAATCCAAAAAGCAATAGCATTTTAATCCAGACAGATATTCAAAAGGTTAGTAAGCAGGGAAAGACGAAAGTGGCTGGCTTTATACAATTATCTGTAGTATCAATGATAGCTAGCCTCCGCAATTTGTATTGTGAAATTGATTGCTATATCTGCAACTTGCAGTTCTGTGGAAAAGTTCAGATAAAGTAAATTAAAATGCACTTTGGAGAAAAGAACGGTGAACTAGAATGGTAGCTTGGCATCTATGGAATCAATTTTTTCCGAGGCTCTAGGATGTTGTAAAGAATGGTGAGTGAGATTCTAGCTTGCATCAATCCATAGCCATAAAGATTCTTGAAAACAGAGAAAAGAAGATTCAAAGTTGTTGCTCAAAACAAATCAACCAAAACTCCTATTACGATACTTGGGCCTGTATTAGCATCACATTCTAACTGAAGAGATAAACAACAGAATAAGCAAAGGAAATGAAACAGAAGACAGAGCATTCTCCCAGAGAACATCTATTCAATATCTAGAGAAATAAGGAAAGAGGTCTGAGGTATAAGCCATGTAAACAAAGCTCTCACAGAGAGAAGTTCATGGCTTCAACCCTTCAATGAATTGCCTAAGCTGTTCCTAACCAAATTCATGATGCTCTCAGTATAAACTTAAGTTAGCAATGTTAAAATGTTAATGGCCTAATTCAAGTAAATATGCTTAAGCATCTCATGCTCTGCTTGTTTAAGAATGAGAGAGCTAAAGCAAAGCTCAAGCCCCTAAAGCTCATTTGCATAGACAATTTTCAGCTCAAAACTCAGTAATAGGATAGGCAGAAGAAAAATATTGAACTGAAGTTAAATATAACAAATTTGCAATGTCATTAGATTAATGTAATCTCAGGAAACTGCTAAATTACATTTGCATCTCAATCATCCATTTAAGATTCGATGCCTTTTTCTATACATAAATGAAAAAAATTCAGTTGAGAATTACAGATGATTAACATCTGCCATCAAAGAACATCATGCAAAACCATGAATCAATGCTTCTGCTTCCAATCCTCATAATCTAACATAAGTGACAATTCAAAACTGTGTCTAACAGAGAAATCTTTCATTGAGCCACCATTGCTGCCATTGCCTTTGCTATTGTCAGCATCAGGTTCCAGGATTCTCCTCCTCTTTCTCCTCAAATGACCTTCAATTTCATCATCAGTAGGCAACTCAAACCGACAGACCGGGCAGGTATTCTTCATCTTCAGCCAGGGCATAATGCATTCCCCATGATAGTAGTGCCAGCAGGGCAGTATCTTCACCTTCTTCCCCTCTGCAATCTCCTCACTGCAAATCACACAGACCCTATCAGTCCCTCCTTTCATCTCCACCTCTGGAAGCCCCTCCACCACAAACCTCGCAGCTGGAGAAGTTGGAGTTCCCCGCAATGCACCCTCAATCTCAAACACATCATTATTTTCCAAGAAATCTTCAAGACTTTGCGACTGATGTGTTTCAAAATTGTTGGGACCGAATTCTGCTTCTCCAATAACAGATAAAAACCATAATATATCTTGATCCAGTGTGTCTGGTGCTGTTAATTCTTCCAACAAGTTGTCGATCCCCGGGTGCATATTAAGATCGCCATTACCATGTCCAGAAATACCCGGAAACAGAGGAGGATTCGAAAGAGCCTCGACAAGACTGGAATACCGAGAAGTGTCTTCAGCTTCGGACTCAAAGTCCAACACCCTAAGTAAAATCGAATCAACACTGTCTGGAAAATTTCCGCCGTTATTGTCGTTATTGATTGAATCCATGTCCAGAAACTCAAAGTCTGAATTCAATCTCAGCAAGCCAATAAGTAATTCCCAGCGGATTCGAGATCGGAATCAATAAAAAGGGGATAATTCCCAGCCAATTCAAGATCGGAATCAACAGAAAAAAGGATAATTTCCAGCAGATTCAAGATCGGAATCAGGTATCGTGAAAAAGGATGAAGGAGGCTTTATCTGTCTTCGTTCTCTCGTAACCCTAAGAAATCGGAATCGACCGTTGGCCCGTAATCCTCCATCCGGTTCAATGATCGTCGGAGTTTAGCTCGAAGATGAGGAGCCGGAGGGATTATTGATGGGATTCGAGTAGACAGCGGTGATCCGATCAGCAAGTGATGGTGAAGAAGTCGACGCAGAAAACTAGGGTTTCAGTATGTTGAGTGTTTGGACTAGGGATGGAACTGCAGAAGCGAAAAGGTCGTTGCTTGGGTTTATATACCAATTGGGTGGATAAGTTTTTTGACCAGGGAATATCCGAGAGACCAGCAGCCCAGTACCCTTGAACTTTTATATTTCCGTCAGATTAGTCCTTATCTTTTTTTCTTGGGCCCAAATAAACCACTCAACTCTACGATTTCTCCAATTAAGGCAAAATTTACATGGAATTCTCTATCAGTAGGAGGTGAAAAGGTGATGATATAGCAAAGCTTCAAGAGGTTATGCAAAGGCCAAAACAATTGAACAAAGTTAATTGTCAAAAATGTCATTGCAAAACACTGAAGTCATTACAACTAGACCTGAAAATATAATAAAAATTCACATATCTATTACATATGATGGGAGAAGCATTATGAAATCCTTAAAAGTATAGCTTGGAGCTTTAGAACCTAGTGATCCAACCAGTAATTTCCAAAACCTGGTTATGTTCCATTGCTGTGTGCTGAATCAAGCTCGTGAGTAAAAACACCATTGATTGACTCAAATGCCTCATCGATGGACCTCTCAGCATCAATCTGATCCAAGAAAGAACAGGGATGAAAGAAGATCAAATCAGCTGGCAATGGTTTATTAATTAGCTTTATTCAGCTAGCTCTGACTGATTTAACAATATCATAGTAGGAAAACACATTAACTTGCATTATTAATACGTAATTTGAGATAAGAACATTACCTTTCGAACCTTCCCTTTTGCATCAGAGTAATTGACTATAGGTACTGTGCATTCTTGATAAACTTTAAACCTCTTCTTGATAGTATCAATGTTATCATCAACTCGTCCCTATAACCACATAAGACATCAAACAAGCAAAAACAAAATGAGACCATTTAGTGGTTACTGACATAATATTGTAACTAGAAGAATTCCAAAATGCCAACATGCTTGCCTGATTTCTGTTTAGAAGGCGTCTTGTCATCTCCTCTTTGAGCAATCCAAAAACAAGACAAAATCTGGCTCGATTTTCAACTATAGATTGTTTGAAACAAGATTATAATAAGAATAAACCTATAATTTAACATCTTCAGCTGAGTTTAACAAAATAGAAAAATCATAGTTCTATGATCTGAAATTAACAAAATACAAATTAAATGCTTACAATCTTCTCAGCAAAAATGTGATTTTCTTCATTACGTGGGAAGCCATCAATAAGAAATTTCTTGCTTTTGCTCCTCTGCACTGCCTGTTTAAGTAGCCTTACAGCTAACTCAGAAGGAACAAGCTTCCCTTCCTTCTTGTAGTCCTCTATCATTTTTCTACAGACAAAGCAATAGTAATGGTAATGAAGAAAAAGCTGAACAAGAATATTTTTTCTGAAAAAAAAAAATCATTTTTTGGGTTGGGGGTTGTCACAATTAGATATACAACTAGAAAACTGCGACACCTATGAAGAATGCTATATTTTTTATGATGGAGAAAGCAAAGAGCAGAGTCTGCATTCTCATATACGAAGCTAAAAAGCCTAAAACTAAAACAGGATATATGCAAGTACCCACGTTGAGATCCTGATTCAACTTCTGCTTGAAGAAGATCACCAACAGTCAAATGGCAAAACCCCAAATGTTTAGCAATCTTGGAGCATTGGGTACCCTTCCCACTGCCTGGTCCTCCTGTCAAGTATCAAACATGACCATAAAAGTTTGCAACTTCACTCAAATATCTTAAAAAAAAACAAACCATTCTGTGTGAAAATATCTTATACTTCTCAGCATTTACTTAATAAGCAATTTTGGGGGTAAAGCTAATTGTGAAATCAACAAATTAAACAAAAAAACCAGAAAACAGACTGCTTAATCTTCTTAACTCAGCATCATCAAAATGCCTAAAAATAGGGGGAAAAGATCATACTTTCAGTAGGAGAAGTATTATAAGAATGCTTACCCAAAACATATACAACTTTGCACTCGTCTGAGATGTTTTCACCTTCATCCTGCCCATCGAAAAGGAGAAAGAATCTATTATTTCAAGCCTTCAAGCAATGCCTTAAAAACACAGAGGAATAATAAAAGAAAGCAAACCTGATCTGGGTTTTGAAGTTTTCCTTCTGCTGCGGGTTCCATAAGCTCATGAATTGCAGAGACCAACACAAGAATGAAGAGGAGATAAAAAGAAGAACAGAAACCGCCATTACCGTACCTTCGCCAAGTGGCGCCGCCGGAGGGAGGCAGAAAGGGACAGCTGTCTTAGCTCGCCGTCTCTTGAAGGTTCTCAATTTAGTGGGCTGGGTCCTGGTTGGGATGGGCTGGACATCCTGGATCCCGCCCAAACCCAAATTAACTGCAACAATACACAACGAGCCCGAGCTTCTTACTGTGAACGACACCGTTGATTTTGAACGCGAAATTCAACGGTCGGAAAACCAGACGGATGATTGCAACTAAATTGGCGCGTCAAATTTCGCATTTGTACTTTATAGGAATCTTCTGTTCTTGTTTTTCAAGAAAATGGATGCACAGAAGGATACCCATTTGTTCGATTTCCAGCATGACATCAAACCAGACGACTGCAGAGAGAAAAACTTTCTCACACATTTTCCAAGAGTGCGCCGGTGTACTAGCACTGAATCCAGGGAAACAAGCTCATTGTCGCGTGATTGTATCTGGATTCGTGCCCACAACCTTTGTTTCCAATTGTTTGGTACAGGTGTACGCGAAATGTGGGGATATGGGGTATGCTTGTAAGGTGTTTGATAAGATGCCGCAACGGGATGTGGTGTCATGGAACACGATGATTTTTGGATACGCTGCTTGTGGAAAGATGGGGATTGCAAGGGAGTATTTTGATGCGATGCCTGAGAGAGATGTTATATCGTGGAATTCATTGCTTTCCGGGTGCTTGCAGAATGGTGAGTGCTTGAAGTCAATTGAGGTTTTTGTGGAGATGGGTAGACTGGGAGCGGTGTTTGATCAGAGAACTTTTGCAGTTGTTTTGAAGGCGTGTGTTGGTTTGGAAGACTATGATGTAGGGATCCAGGTTCATGGATATGTAATTCGAGTGGGATTTGAGACAAATGTTGTTACTGGTAGTGCTTTAGTAGATATGTATGCGAAGTGTAAGAAATTATATGATTCGCTTAGACTTTTTCATGGAATGCCTGAGAAGAATTGGATTTCATGGAGCGCCGTTATTGCCGGTTGTGTTCAAAATGATCAGTTTATTAAAGGGCTGGAATTGTTCAAGGAAATGCTGAAGGAAGGAATTGGGGTTAGTCAGTCAATTTACGCCAGCATTTTCAGGTCATGTGCAGGGCTGTCTGCATTTAGATTAGGCAGTCAGTTGCATGGTCATGCCTTAAAGACTGATTTTGGTTCAGATGCCATTGTAGGAACAGCAACTTTGGACATGTATTCAAAATGTGGCAGTATGCATGATGCTCAAAAGGTATTTAACTTATTGCCAATACACAATTTGCAATCTTTCAATGCCATTATTATTGGTTACACCCAGAACGATCAAGGCTTCCAAGCATTGCACTTATTTCGACTTTTGCAAAAGTCTGCTCTTGGTTTTGATGAAATAAGTTTGTCTGGAGCATTTAGTGCTTGTGCAATGATTAAAGGATATAACGAGGGCCTTCAAGTACATAGCTTAGCAGTTAAAAGTACCTTGGAGTCAAATATTTGTGTCAGTAATGCCATGGTTGACATGTATGGTAAATGTGGAGCTTTAGCTGAAGCTTGTCAAGTTTTTTATAAAATGGAAAGAAGGGATGCTGTTTCTTGGAATGCAATTATCGCAGCATATGAGCAAAGTGGGCATGAAGAGGAAACACTTTCTCATTTTGTTTCAATGCTCCGTTCAGGAATGGAACCTGATGATTTCACTTATGGCAGCGTTTTAAAAGCTTGTGCCGGTTGGCAAGCCCTGAATCACGGCATGGAAATTCATAACCGAATCATCAAATCAGGAATGGGGCTTGATTGGTTTGTTGGAACTGCTCTCATTGATATGCACTGCAAGTGTGGAATGGTAGAAGAGGCACAAAAGATTCATGAGAGAATACAACAAGAGACAGTGGTTTCTTGGAATGCAATGATTTCTGGATTCTTATTGCGAAAAAGAAGTGAGGATGCTCAGAGATACTTTTCTTGGATGTTGGAGGTGGGTGTGAATCCAGATAATTTCACTTACGCAACAGTTCTTGATACTTGTGCTAATTTGGCTACTGTTGGACTCGGTAAGCAAATTCATGCTCACATTATCAAGCTGGAATTGCAGTCAGATGTGTATGTATCCAGCACCCTTGTTGATATGTACTCAAAGTGTGGAAACATGTTAGATGCTCGACTAATGTTTGATAAAGCACCTAAGCGGGATTTTGTGACTTGGAATGCCATGATTTGTGGGTATGCCAACCACGGTCTTGGAGAGGAGGCTCTTGAAATTTTTGAGGATATGATACTCGAGAATGTGTTGCCAAACCATGCAACATTCGTTTCAGTGCTTCGTGCATGTGCACATATAGGGCTAGTTGAAAAGGGGTTCCATTATTTCAACAAAATGTCAAATGACTATGGTTTAGATCCTCAGTTAGAGCACTATTCATGCATGGTGGATATAATGGGGAGGGCAGGCCAAGTTACTGAGGCTTTAAAGCTAATAAGTGAGATGCCTTTCCAAGCTGATGCTGTTATTTGGAGAACCCTGCTTAGTATCTGCAAGATCCAGGGAAATGTTGAGGTGGCAGAAAAGGCAGCCAGTAGTCTTTTGCAATTGGAACCGCAGGACTCCTCTGCCTACATTCTACTATCTAATATTTATGCTGAGGCAGGGATGTGGAACAAGGTTTCTGATGTGAGGAAGATAATGAGGTATAATAAGCTGAAGAAGGAGCCTGGTTGCAGCTGGATTGAGATTAAAGATGAGGTTCATACATTTCTTGTTGGGGACAAGGCTCATCCAAGATGCGATGAGATGTACAACACACTTTGTATTCTGGTTGATGAGATGAAATGGGCTGGATATGTACCTGGTAGTGAGTTCTTGCTCGAGGAAGAGGCAGATGAAAACAACCATCTAGAAGAGCAGAGTATCAACGTAAGTGGTTTGTAGTCATACAGCTCTACGGAACAATGGAATTTCTGAATTACAGCTTCTGAAAGAATGTCATTTTACTAATATACAGACAGGGACACCATAATGTAGAATTTTTTGGACGAATACATTTACTTTCCAAAGGAAAGGATTAAAAAAAGCTAAATATCATTATAAACCAATTATGGAAAATCAGCTTTAGGATGATTTGGCTCAGACAATGAAGAACATTCAAAGTCATTGTTGAAAGCATTCAGATATAACCACTACAACCTTTTCAACTAAACAAAACATATCAGTACTTACAAGCAAATTTTGCTTATAAGCTCCGCCAAACATGCCCTAATCAAAATCCATGAAGTTAAGTGAACAGAAAATAGAATAACAAAAACTCTGCTTGCGATTCAGCCCTAGGTGGTTGTTTCCTGTAGAAGTGTCGAGGAGGTGATTAGCAGTCAGCATCTTAATGGCAATTCAAATGATTGATGAAAATTCACCTTCTGTGACCAATCATTCATTTAAAAATCTCAGTAGATCACCTATTCTGCAAAAAGTTGCTAAGGAATGTTAGCAATGAAAACTGCAGCTATGAAGTCTGCATATCCACATATCAGTTTATCTGTAATTCTCCTTCGTGAATTTGAAGACATTGTTATGGAAACCCGAGTGCCTAAAAAACTCAAGTAGAATGACAGGAAAAGGGAATTGACATTTCATCATTTAAAGGAGTAGCCCTTTTGATCGAAAAAGTAAGCCATGACTGAAATCATCAAGACAGTCAATGCCATGAAAATATGCTTAAGGTTGAGCAATCTTGCGTCTATTCTTCTCACTATCTCGACCTCTGATGTGGCATCTGCTGGTTTCATTTCAGTCTCACCAACAGATTCAGTTGTCCAAGTCTTCTCCACCTGGAAAAAGTGTAATAACATGGACAAGAAAAATCAGAAACAGGACTCCATTTCATGGCAGTTTCTGAAAGTAAAATAATAAATTGTAAACAAGCACCTCAGAACCAGCAGCTGATGCCTCAGTTACTTCTTTACTTTCCCTTGCACAAGGAGCATTTGCCAAGTCTTGCTTTGAAAATAAACATTCTTTGCAATTTCCTGTATTTTCATTGTTCAAAACCATGGATGGATACTTGTCCGATTTCTTCAGCTTCACAATCAAAATTTTATTCTCCACTGCTAGTGCAGACATCTGGTTGAAAATCAAAAACATCATCCATTAGGAGAAGTGTTGGAATGATTTAAGGTTGTGAAAACATCATTTCTTCTTCACCTGACATGTTTATATCTCTGATTGGTACAACCAACTATTAGAATACAGAAAAGAAAAATCTTGATTTACCAGTTATAAATCTTGGAACAAAGATACTGATTAGAAAGAAATTCTGTGCCTCTCCATTTTCAAGCAATAACAGGACAGTATAATTTGCAACTCTAAATGTTTGATGAAGGTGAAAGAGGATTGCTGTGTAGACTTTAGACAGATCATGAGTCATTTTTTATATTGGGGGTTGGGGATTCAAACCCATCTGTTATGGATGAGGAACATGCTAAGGTGAGATAATGAGTCATTTTATATCTTGACAAATATGTTCTATCAATTAAGACTTTTAACTCATGTTTCTTACCTGAATACAAGAACAAAAAGTAAGGAATCCAAGCATCAAACGAAGGTGGTGTGCAAAACAACAAAAAAAAAAGGTGTGTTTCAGTAATAATAGATGTTAGATTTTAAAACTGACATAAATAAGTGGCAGGTGCCACAGGTTTATACCTGCTGGTGAAGGCGCTCTCTTTCTACTGCCAGTTGTGTGAGTAGATTTGTAATTATTTTGGTATGAATATCAATGTCTTTCACGGTTGCCATTTTCATTTCCTCAGCTTTATTTAAAGATGCCTCCAAACAATCTAGTCTACCCCTCAAAAAGCTCAATTCTTCACTTAGCTCTGCATTAGATTCACATAATATGATACACTTCCCTTCTGCATTTTCTGCTTGACTTTCAGCTTTTGAAACTTTCAACTTAAGATCCTCTATTAAAGCCTCCATATCTCCAATGGTCGAATACAGCATCTTTTGTTTCTCCTCACTTGCTTCAGCAGAAGCTATTGCATGCTGTAACTGGATATCAGATTCCTTTAACTGCTTCTCCAGTGCTTCCAGCTTTTCTGCAGTAACACCACTGTCTTTAATAAGACCCAGCTCTTCATTAAGTTCCATGTTAGTCTCATCTAATAATTTACACTTGGCTTCTGCACTCTCTACTCTGTTTTCTGCTTTATATAACTCTTCCTTCAAATCCTCAATAACATTCTCAAGTTCACTGATTTCAAAACAGAAGGTATTATTCTGCTCTTCACTTTCATCATGGGCTTGTTCATGTAGCAGCTTAGACTCAGATTCTTTCTGTTGATTCTCCATTGAACTTACAATCTCTCTCAAAGTGAAGATCTCAGAATCAGCAAGAATTAACTTATTTTCAGCTTCAGTCAACCTTGCTTTTAAGCTGTCATTCTGAGCCTTAAAGAAGTCGTTGACTCGTGCATTGCTGCTTTCAAGCTTGCGCAATACATGCTCTTCAGCTTCTAACTTTTCCGTGAAACCATCAAGCTTTGATCGTAGCTCAGTTTCTTGGTAGATTGAATTATTCAGATAGAAGTGCAGCATTTGCTGTCGAGCCAGTAGATCCTTTGAAATGCCTTTAAGCACCTCCACAGAATTCTCTGCCTCAAAGCACCTTTCATAAATATCAGTCAACTCTTCTTCCATGCAGAAAACTTCTTGTTCTGATGAGAGCAGTCTGATTTTCAACTCCTGCTCTATTGGCCTTAATTCTGCCAACTTCTTTTCTAGATCCATTTCTCTGGCCAAAGATTTCTCTAGCATCCTCAAAATATGTCGCTGCTCTTCAGCAGTTTGCATTCTTATCTTTGCACTAACACCTTCTGCCAAATCCACACATTTGTGGTCACTCCCTGATCACATAAATGGATTAGATAGTGACTTAGATACTACAAAAGAAAAAATATTTTAATTTAAATTTGCAACATTTAACCAACATCTAATAGAATAGAATCATAAAACATCATTTACTTCATGACAGACAGCTTTAGCACAAATGATATAGCCAGTCAAATATAGGAAAATAATCTGAAACTAATTTGAAACAATAATCATGCTCACTTTTTCCTTCTTTTGGCCATTTCTATAAGCATCATGGTGAATCACCTATTGAAAATAACTAGTTATCATAGTCGCAAGAGGCATTTATTTCTGTCACTTTTCTAACCCTAGTTCATATTGGTTTCTTGACAAAAGAAGTTTGAAAAATTAACAAATCCAACCCATTGAACCCAATATATCAATTTGCAAAATTTCCATTCACATTAATGCTCAAAATGTCAATGTCAAATATAGTGAGCTTAGTGGAAAACAACTTACAATTCCTGTTACCATCAAGACATGACAAGGTCCTCTGGAACTTTGCACATTGCACCTTAATTTCGGAGGCTTGATCTTGTGATTGCTTCAAGGATTCTTCAGAATCATGCAACTTTTTCTCCATTTCCACGAAAGTTTCTCCTAAGTGTCTAAATGAAGATATCATCTCATGAGCATTGGCAATAGCTGTTTGAAGACTACAAATGAACTTATCTAGTTCTTTCACCTCTGAATCTAAAATCCCATTTAAGAGATCAAACTCCAGTGCCTTCTCAACAGAATCATTAAGCACAGAATCATTTTCTGAAGCAGAGGATTCAAAGTCACTTTCCCTGGTTGCCATATGCATTGTAAGTATACTTAAGTTGACTAACTTCTCTGAAGAACATGCCAAATCTAATTCCACTCTTATTATAAGCTCCCCAACCCTTTCTAATTCTCCATTCACCTCTTTATGAGATGAAAACCCATCAGAAATGTCAACTTTGATTGATCCTGGTTCCAGTGTAACACTGTTGAAATCATCAACAGATACACTTCTTTCATGCTCAATGTCATTATCCATTTGAATGGTACACTAGTTGCTGTAATCTTAGTCAAAACCTAGAAATCAGTTAAACATCAGCAAAAGTCATGAATGAATAATATGAGATTACTGAATTTCAGTCAAAGGACACCACTTTCGCCCCACACCAGTGCATGCAAATGTATGCAAATCAAGTTTGCTAATACGACATCATGGACTCATTCCGTTTACCATAGAGAAGAAAAATAAACAATAAAAGAAAAGAATGAAAGACAAAATAAAACAAAATGAGAGGTTAAGGCCTAAAATTCCAGCTCACCTAACACAATTTCCAATTAGAAACTGAATGGACACAATTTTTTCTAGCACTTCTAAATTTATTAAAATGCTCACAAAATGAATCAACATCATGCATTCTTCTCATTATAAGAAGGGGAAAGGAAATAGATGAGGAGGAGGAGGAAAGGAATGTTCTTGATAGCCACATTGACATTCATTTGCGAAGATGTGAAACTCAATCCATCAAGAACCCAGATTAAAGCCAAAGTAATCTCTTAGGTGACACCAACCCCTTAGTAGATATTAGACAATCATACATCCTCCACACGAGCAAAATGATGCACAAATTTTGCCCAGTTTTTTACTTTTTCTTGCAAATTATAATCTCTTGGAATCTCGATTGTAAAATTCTATCCATACACAACTTAGCATCAAACTATATACATTCAGGAATCAAATATGATCCTCCAAAAGGCATCTAATTGTACATTATAATTAACAAATTCAACATTTCTAAACCAAAAGCCATCACTGCTTTGATGGCCAAATAGGAAGAAATAAAAAAATAAAAGGCATTGCCAAATGAGAAAAACAAGGCTGTTTCTTCTTGGCTACCTCATAAACAATGATTTTTGTAAGAACTAAATTATCATCATTAAGCAAAGATTATATATATATATATATATATATTCAAGAACCGAAATCAAGATTCCTAATGAACCAACCAGCTGAAATCCAATAAGAACCTCAAAAATCACTAACGAATTCAATAACTTAAAAAACCCATCTCCTATACTTAAAGAATCCTCAAAACAATAACAGAGAAATAAGAAAAATCTTAACTTTGGAAAAAGTTGCACTGGTCTTGACAGACCTATATGAAGAGAAGGGAAAGCGCAAAGGAGGAAACAAGATTTTCTGTAAATTCTGCGTCACTCAACAATGGGGAAATAGATAAGGTGCAGAGATTGAGAAAGGAAAACGCTGCGTAATGGATTTTAGTTGTTTCAGGGATCAAAGGGCCTCTGCCACTTGTCAAATTTGAAAGTTGGAACTTTCTTCTGCATGTTACCAAGTGTTTCATTTGTCTCTATACTTTGCTCGGCCTTCTGGTCTATTTGCACATTTAGAAATCAAACAACCGCGTGTTGCAGATGTTACAATTTACATTGTAAAATAGCAAATTCTATTAAACAAGTAAAACTTTTACAAAATACATATCAAACCGGAGAATTAAGACCTGGTGTTGGTGCATTCTAACTAATTAATGCAACTGTGGTCGCGAGTGCAATGTGTAGTGATCAGTTTGAGGGACAATATACACAATCACCATGGCATATAGACTTAACTACTCGTTACCAACATTTGTCACTTTGATGTCTTTTTTAGGAATGACAATTATTGTTCTATATTCAATTCAATATATTATTTAATATATTTATTTAAAAATTATTATTTTTTAATATAAAATTAAAAATAAATAAATTTAAAATATAATCATATACATAATAAGTAAAAATTGATTGAATTAATTGTATTTATATTATATTTTTAATTTTTTTGAACATGATTATAATCAAAGAATGAGATAAGAGAATAATAATAATAAAAAAAAGAACATGTGAGATTTAAAATTGCAACATATGAAAGTGATCACATTAACTCATAATGTTTCCCGAAAATCCTCTAGTGGCATCGCACGTGTAAAATCTGGATGCGGGCGTGTCACTTACTTTGCTGAAAGTAAGAAAGGAGGACTTTCCCAACGACTCTTTCCTTCCTCATGGTCGACCTCTTTGTAGATGGCGGGAAGAACGTTGGATTAAAATGAAATTTGCGCCTTCAGACGATTTGCAAGAGGGAGGGATACCTCCTGCAGAATGAGTTACGAAATCTGCTTTGGACAATTTCAAGGACTTAAACGCTACCGTGACTTAAAATTAACAAATCCTAATTGAACTAAATAACCTGCAATTTAAAGTAAATTTGTGAGGAAAAGCTGTACTCAAATTTAATTAAACATGTTCATTGTTAAATTAAAATGTTATGTTTGGGCAGATCTGGAAATTAAAATGCTGCAGAATTAAAGACTTCATCCTAATTAACATAAAAAATTAACGTGAATAGTGAATAAATTCAAGAGTTTGAAGTTGGAAAGAGGTATGAACACTACATAAGTAATCATTGAATAAAATGCTACTTATCATAAACATTAAATTAATTACAAATGAAAAGAAAACAATACCTTGCATAAACTTGAAGGATTGAAGTTCATTGCATGAAAGGAAATTGTTTAACTGAATATAGGAATTAATTTGTCTATTGGAATGATGAAAAACAACCTAATTCTAGTGGAATCTGTGCTAAAATCTGAAATCTGTGCGGAAATCCGAAATCTGGAAGCATGTGCAGAGAAAATCAAAGTATGAAATTTGCAGATGTTTGAGTAGGGCTAGCCGTCCGTTCTCCCTTCCCAAATTTCCTTTTTGTTCTCCAAGTGCCGGCAGTAACTTTCACTTTCTGCAGTTACTCAATCATGAGTGGTTTTTTGAAGTAGTGGGACACCTCACCTTTTGACCTAGTCTAATCCTCTTTCATCCTTTTTCATATTTCGCCACTTGTACTCTTATCAGATAAAACCCCCTTTTTAACTGTGATCTTCTCCTATTTTGCCGCTCTCATTATCCCTTTCTGTATCAAGAAGATAATTACTCCATAAAAAATTATCTTTACCTCTCCTATTTTCTCAACACAAGTGCTGATCTGTCCTAGGGCCCAAAATCCGAATCTGACATAGCTCAAACTCATCCAACCAATAAAAAATATTTTACATGTGGCATTAATTTAAAATTTTGCAATTTATGGTGTAAACACATAATCATGTTAATTATTATATTTTTAATTATTAAATTAAAAATATATCAAAAATTATATTAAATTAAATATATATCAATCATTTTACTCTGAAGAACTTCATTTGTTTTAATATTAATTTCTTGGTACTCGGTAACCATATTGGATTTTGATTAATTCATAATCGAGCTGCACCGGATCTCATTAGAGAAAAGCTCTCTCAACACCTATTTATCTATTTATAAGATGCAATTCGAGATTTTATTTAAGGAGAATCAAGTTCCTTCCACTCAAAACAATATATGGGTGGTGGAAAACTTCTTTTAATATTAGGAAAGGCCAAAACCCCTATTTGCACCCTCTATTTATTTACTTTCCACGGTCAACACTTTTCAAATATTTTCCTCTGATTAACACCCTTTACTTTTTAAAACCCATGAAAAACTCAATATTTTAACTGACCGTCACATCACCGTTAAAAAATATAATACGTGACATTCAAATAATGACGTGGATGTTACGTGACATTATTTATCCAATGTGGATGATTTTTTGATGATGTGGCGTGATGATGTGACATAATTTCATATGAATACCTCCCAACCAAAAAAAGAAAAAACTAGAACACGGTGGGGTCTAGGTTCCTCGTGGAACCCAGAGTTTGGGTTCCTCACGATGAAGAACTCGATCTGGGTTCCATCGTGAGGAACCCAATTTGGGTTTCTCGTTGAGGTTCGATCGCACGACGAGGAACCCAATTTATACCTTTCTTTCGCCTTTCTTTTTTGTAATTCTTTCTAGTTTTGATAGAATAATAAGATGATTATTTGACTATTTGATTATTTGATGGGTTCTCAACTTTTTTTGCAAGTGAATTAAAAGATTGTTCATTTTTTTTTTTTCCAATCTAAATCAACCTCCATTAGAATTAGGGATTAAATCTTTTTCGATCTTCCATGGAGGTTGGGTTCCATGAGGAACCCGAAACTAGGTTCCTCACAAACCTAGCTCTGGGTTCGTGGAACTTAGTTTTGGTTCATGGAACCCCAGAACCTGAGTTCCTTATGAAACCTAGGAGGATGATGAAGAGGACAATGAAAAAGACACAGTGAAGATGATGTTGAGGATGAGGAGAAAGAAGAAAACGAAAAAAATTAAAGTTAATTATGATTTAATTCATTCAATTTTCTGTTTTAACTTTTTTTTTGGTTAGGAGATATTCATATGAAATTACGTTATGTCATTATGTCACATCATCAAAAAATTATTCATATTAGATAAATAATGTCATGTAACATTTATGTTATTATTTGAATGTCATGTATTATATTTTTTAATAATTATTAATGATAATGATGATTCATTAAAATATTAAGTTTTTTATAAAATTTTAAAAAT